CTTCCCCCTTACACAGAAAAAAAATTCCCTTGCAAGTGGATTTATTTCATCATGAACTAGAGATTCCTAGTCAGTGAGCAGCACTGACACCACCTGGCAGCTGGCTGGAAATGCAGGTTCTGGAGCCCCATTCAGCATCTGCAGGATCAAAATGTGCATTTTAGGTACAGCTGATTTGTGTACATATTAAACTTTCAGAAGCATTGCACCAGAATGCTGTCATTCACAGGACACCACAGTTCACACTCCTTGCCTTTCAAAATGCTGTCCCAATTCATTGGGAGATATTCTCTTTATTCCCAACCCCCCAAAGTGGCATATATTACTAACCCACTGATCCTGAAAGGATGACTTTTAGCGCTTTTAGCGGCCTTCCCTTTTAAAGGGTTCTCGAGGCCACCTTTTCTGTATACATAGCTGGCATATTAGGTTTTTCCTTATGGGCTTCAAAATAGAACACAAGAACACAGCTGTCTTCTATTAAGCACAACACAGCAACATACAAAAAAAAATGGTATTCTATTTTTTGTTTTCAAAAATACAAACTTTTTTAAAAAAACTTGTTAATACGCTGTTAGGATGTCCAATCCAAAATGAGAACCACTGGTCTTAATCTGCCAGTGAAAACACAGATTCTAATATACGTGACATTTCACTTAAAACTACAGTTGTCAATTTTGTAAACTAAGGATAACCCTCTCTGGCTAGGTCATATGCTTTCAACTATCAATCTGTTTGTGACCCAGCATAGTGGTACACACTTGTAATCTCAGCACTTGGGAGACTGAGGCAGGAGGATGGTTCCCATGAGTTTAAGACCAGCCTGGGCTACATAGTGAGTTCAAGGCCAATCTGAAATACTTGATAAGACTCTGCCTCAATGAAAAAAAATCCTATGATCTCTAAAAATTTGCCCACCTTTTTCTTCTGAGTGAAACATCACCTTTGAGATGTTTAGTAAGTTTACTATTTTTCTCAGAGCTCAAATATTGAAGGGAAGAACTGAGCTAAGATCAAAAGGAGGGCCGGGGAGATGGCTCAGTGGAATAAGTACTTCCCTGGCAAGCACAAGGGCCTGAGTTCAATCCCGGGTTCCGCAAAAAAAAAAAAAAAAAAAAAGATTAAAAGACTCACAAATCCAGAGGTGTTTGGTGGTTTCTTCTGTTAGCTTGAGATAGCACCCTATAACTGATCTTGGGCAGAGACCCCTGACAGGACCCATAGTTATTTGCAGTGGTTGCTTTTAAATGATACATAACTATTGGAGAATCCTGAGAATCTTATAGTTGAGTCCCAAGGTTTGCTTCCTCAAATAATTACAGTGGTCGATTGAGTCTCTCAGTTGCTAGATAATTCAGTATTGGTCTCTCAAAGCTTATACCTAAAGGATAGCTCACAGAAATTTCACATTCTCTGAAATAGTATAAAAAGAACAAGCTTGTAATAGTCCAGGTTGTCACAACCCTGCTGTTTACCCTACTGTACTTAATTCTACTGAAATTACCACAGTTAAATATTTATTATGCCCTGTCCCCCCTGTAAGAGTCTCTGTACAGGACTCTTAGCTGATTTTAGTTGTAGCCTTAGGGCCAGGAGCAGTGTCTGTAATATTCATATTCAACAAATACTGATGTTTTGTGAGTACAGAGCATTAGTTGATAAACCAATCCCAGGGTGGTGTTCAAGGTAAGAATGTTACTGAAAAGAACAGTAGTTAGCCTAGAGAGGCAAGAATGAAAAAGTAATTGTTTTTAAAAATCTGCTCTGACTCAAAGTTCTTTTAAAATGCATTAACATTTATTGTTCTTTTTTTCACATTATATATTTTGCTGGAAGGAGAGACACCATTTTACTAAATGTTTTCTGAACCTAACAATTTGTGCTCCTTCAATCACATGTTTTTGTCTGTCATTCTGACCATCAGTAGTCAGGGTAGCTGAGGTTTTGTTGATATAATTAGTGATATACTACACTAAACTACTGCAATGTTACCTATAGGCTGGTACTTCCATTTTAATTTAAGAACTTAACAGTGTTAATAATTTGGCTTCTCTCAGAGTTCTTGAGTAATTAAGATTGGTTTTAAAAGAAGATTGAGTTGGCTCACATACATGTGTACTAGCCAGAAACCTATTAAAAGGTCCAGTGCCATTACAATTTCACTTTCATGCCAGAAATCATTATTGAATTTCAGGTTCATTAACTATCAAATACCATTCCCCACATCTTCCAACAATTTCAGTTTCACTTTGCAGAGTGTGTTTATGTCAATAATCTTGATTCTTAATTTTATAGACTAGAAATCACCAATTAAATGAAAAAAACAAAGGATCTGAGAAAACTTTTTTGTTTACTTAGTTGGTTTTTTGAGATAATGTCTCACTATGTAGCTCAAGCTGTCCTTTAAACTCACCATGTAGCCCAGGCTGGCTTCAATCTCCTGGTAAATGCCGGGATTACAGGTGTGGGCCATGACAACCAGCTTTATTGAATAATGAACAAGACCACTGATTATATTTTTCATCTTGAGCCAATTTACTGAATATCTAAATCACCACAGATAATATGGATATCTTTGAATTATACAGAGCCATAAAATTTGAAGAAACATTTTCAGCGCAGTCTTTTGTCTGTTTTTAGAGGGGTACTTGTGTTAAATGTGGAGCTGCACCTATTCTCGTATTAGTCAAATGATGTATTTTTTTTTTCTCCTGCCCTTCCCTCATTTTAAAAATGCTACTTTCAAACTAGTAGGTTTTTTCTTCATTGTAAACAACTTAAGCAAGGTACTGTTGTGGAAAGAGTTCCATTTGTATCCCATATTCCATAATAGGGGTTATTGAAATTTTAAAGGGCCGAAATGCACTCTACTGAGGTTATGTTTTAATCTGTAAGCAAACTGGTAAAGTAGAACAATCCACGATACACAGGATTTTCTCATTAAAAAAAAAAGCCATTAACAGTGTTTTCAATTGTGGCTCTATTTCGGAACATAACTATATTTGCTCTGGGTAAATTCCTTCAAACGTTACCAAGCTAATATCATACACTGTATTTGGTGTTAAGGGGGAAAGTGAGCAATCAGTTCCCATTTTGCTTAGTAAAATGGGGGATACAATCACAGTAAAGGCTTTTTTTATTCAGAAATGACCTGTCTTGCTTTTAGTCTTGAGACTGTAGGGTCGTGTGCAAACGTTTGCGTGCTAGTTAGTAATCCTGTCGAACCGCACCTTGCCCAAACCTTAATTTAGCTGAAGCTCCTTTCTCCGGCTTCCGGGTAGCTAGACGCAATGTTTGAGCACCTGCCTACACTATACCCACATCCCTAGTGAGAAACGGAAAGTAACAGCAAAGGAAACGTCCTACTCCGGGCAGTGTTCGAAGGACGCTCCCACTTTCACTGCAGCCTTTTCAGAACTCACCTTCCGTCCCCTCCTAGCTTTCCGCAGCTCCCAGGAGACGCAGTTAACGCCCCTTCGGATAGGGCTCGCCCCCTTCGGCCCAGCTTCCCGCCCTTCAGGCTTCTCCGATCCCGTGTTCCTTAGTGCCCACACTCTTACTGGCCCGCCCTTGTGGAGACCCACCCTCTCCTTTAAGCCTGACGGAATCACCTGACCCTGAGGCGCTCTCACTGAGAGGAGGCAGGCAGGGGCGTGTACGCCAGGGCGGGGCGCGAGGAGAAAGGGGCATGCCGGGAGTGGGCGGGGCGAAGGGTTGTCACTCCGATCTCGCGAGAGGACGGAAGCCTGTGGGAGCCCTTGGCCTTTAAAGTGCGGTTCAGCCTTTTCCTCCAGGGCTAGTTTGTAAACACAGCTGTGCTCTGGGCTCCCGGGTGACCGAGTGAATCATGAATTAGTGACCTGGACAGGTGAGTAGGGATGGAGAGAGGGCCGCTGGACTGGAGACCGCAGGGATACGGAGAAAGAAGGCGCTAACATGGCGACGTCGCTCACCGTAGTCCCCACCCCCCGCTTCCCATCCCCTCGGGTGTCTCTGCCGCGGTCCCGAGCCCTCCGGGCTTAGTGACTGTGCCGCCCCTCTTCTGCGCGCAAGGCGTTGGCCTCCGGATCCCGACCGGCGGGGCAGGACCGTTAGGTAACGCGTCCGTTGTTCCGGCCCCTCCCTCTCGCGCGCTTTCCTAACGAAGAGGGAAAAAAAGAATAGCGGCTCCTCTGAGACCCCTCCCTCCGGTTTGTCATCACCCCGGGTGGTCACTCCAGAGGTCCCCGGGGCGCAAGTCGGATCCGCCCAGCACTCGGGGAGCCCTCCCCTCCGCCCCGGTGCTTGGTTGGGCAGGAAAAGGCCCACAATGATTCCGCTCACCCGGGGTTCCCGCGGTGGAGACCGAGTGTTTGTGCTGGTGGCTGGGAGGGAGATTGGGAAGCGCGGCAGAAAATAGGGTCAGGGTCCCAGATAGAACGAATAATGGAGAACCTGGCGGCTAGAGGTCTTGGTCTTTTCTGTCCTTTCTGCCGCCCTCATACTCCCGCCACCCCCTACTTCTCCAGGTGGGGTGGAGCTGAGATGTGGATGCACAGTGATTGTGGTTCCCCCCTCCCAGACCCCCCGCTTTTTAAACCTCCCTGAGTGGACTGCAGAGCTTCTGTAGGGAAATAATCTCAGCTCGTTAGCTGTGTCCTAGAGAGCAGGGCCGAGGGAGAATGCACCTGTGTATTTTCTGTGCTGATCCTTGAATCGAGTTGGAAGAGGAGACGCTGGGGACCTTTTTTGTGCTCCTAGGCTTGTAGTGTAACATTGTCTTTCCCTACTGGGGAGGCCACGAGCTAAACTACCATGATTATGATGGAGTAAAGGGATTATTTCTGATTCACCTTGGGTCTCCAGACTAATCCCTAAAGTACAATGTGACAGTTATACTTTCTTCAGGATTATAAATTGAGAAAGCCACACAGTACATGCATGTATATATGTGAAGTCAAAACAGTTTTTGTCATAGTTGAAGAAATTCTTAACCACCAGGACTCTTGTAACAGCCTGAAAGACTTGGTCTGTTGTACCAAGATTATGGAGCTTAGACTGCGGTGGGGACGTGGGGCACTGTCTCACTGTGTATGAGGGTCTCACTGTGCAGGCTGGCCTTGAATTGCCTTACGTAGCCCAGACTAGCCTTGCACTCGTGGTGATCCTCCTGCCTCAGCCTTTTGAAGGTTAGGATTACAGGTATGCACCACCACAACCAGCAAGACTGGATTTTTACAAATCTTGTTAAAAAGTCAACATTACTAGGGTTAAGTCCCCTAACACAAACAGTAGCAGCTTGGGACAGGGTGGAATCAGAGAAAAGATCTCATCGTATTTTCAGGCTGGTCTTGAACTCAACATATAGCCTAGGTTGGTCTTGTGAACTCGTACGATCTTCCTGCTGCAGCCTCCCTGATGATAGGATTACAGACTTAGGCGGCTATGCCCAGCTGGCAATTTTATTTTGTATTTAAATTTGTTTCATATGACCTCTTTTTCAGAACTACAGAAATACCTTTGGTAAATACGTTTTTAAAAAATGATAACCCTTCTGCAGGTCCAGAAATAAGACAGTTTGTGGATCTTTAGTAGTAAAGCATTCAAATTTTTGTGAGAGAATGCCTCAGAATTCAGATTTACAAGTGATGTGAATGGTACTTCTGAGACATGTTTAATCTTGTTTTGAGGATACTACTGTCATTAAGTTGTTAAAAATTATTTTAAAGGTACTGTTGTGGTAATTTAGGACTCAAGTGTTGTGTATTTTGTCAGGAAGGAACTTCAGTGTGTTTAAGGTATATATAATACCTTCTGTAGCTATGACTGGATTCCTGAGATCCTTTTTAAGACATGTCTTTAGAAGATCGGTGCCACATACCAATAATCCCAGCACTCTGGTAAGCTGAGACAGGAGGATATGCCTAGGTAATTGTTTTGAAGTAAAAGGGGGGAGGTGCTAGAGATGTAGTTCAGTGCCAGGATCTTGGATTTAATCTTCAATACCACAAGAATATTTGAAAAGTAAAAATAAAATACCTAATTAAAATACTAATTTTGTATTTGGCTCATTATTTTGTGGAGGGGGTATGTGTTTTATTGGTATTTAGGATTTGAAAGCTATATGTGTAATTAAAAATGATACGCTATTTACTAAACAGCTACTGTATATAATTATTACTAATTCTCAAGAAATTGTCCTAATTTTTTTTCTACCTCAGCTTTGAAAATACTGTGTTTTAATGATTTGTTTCTGCTAGTAGATTGCTAGGTCAGGTACATAGTCTCACCACAACATGCTGTTCCCACTCATGTTGTCTTCAGGTTCTTATATGAAGTATGTATATAAAGTGATATTTCTATTTGTTGTTATTAAAAGGTCTTTAGTTTATTTAAAACCAAGTTTTTACCAGAAGCACCTTTGTGGAAAGCCCAGTGAATATGTTGGGGGCCTGAGCTAATTTAGTAGGAAAATCTAAAATTTGAAGTCAGTTTGGGCAATTTAGCGAGACCCTGGCTCAAAAATGAGTCGAAAATGTAGCTTAGCACTGGGTTCAGTCCTCAGTATCATTCCTTTATTCATTTACTCATAAATAGATAAAATAATCTGATATTTAACTGATCTTTTAAAAAATTAATATAGTACTTGTTATACTATTACCTTTATAAGTGTATCCTAGAAGAAACCTTTTCATTGTTACAGTCAGTAGCTTAACTTAACGTTTTTGTTTATCTTAATTTCCTATTTCTTGAGGACAAGAGCTTATCTAAGTGTGATTTTTAATGTTGAAGTATTTCTTTTGTTCTATTTCTCAAAGTTAAACGTTTATGAATCTTTAAGGCTATCAATAATTGTAATTATTTTATATTATAAATACATTAAATGTATACTATATGATTATAAATACATGCATATTATATGACTGTTGACAACCTTCAACTGCTGTATTCATTTTAAAGTATATTTAGTAGAGCTTGTTTTTTTCTTGACATTTCAGCAATTATAGTGATTTTTTTTCAGCAAGAAGGATTATAAATGCTTTTGAGGCTCTTCATCTTTGTCTGTATTTGGTGTCTTAACAAAGATATAGCTTCTCAATCTTTGTTTTGTGTGTATTTGTTTTGCCTTAATACCGAAGAGGGGAAACATCTGGAATGCAGTGGGAATTTATTACAAATAGTCTCAACAAGATTGGTATGTGTCCTTATTTGTGTTATTTGTGTATTTGTTATAGCTTTCACAAAATTTATGAGATTGAATTTTTATTTTATGTATCTAGCATTGCATTTTCCTGTTCTGTGATGTGTAATGTTTCATGGTTATTACAAAATGTGACAACCAAATCACATTTTAAATTTCCTGAATTCTAAGTGCCAAAAAGGAAATGTTTTTATTTTTTGCCTGTTTTAACACTGAATTAAGCACCTTTATGCAAATTATCCTTTTGTTTCTTTTGAATTGTCTCTATAGAATCCTAAACTCAAATGGGATTACTGGTCACAGAACATAAATGTTTCTATAGTTGCCAAATTATTGCTTTCCCCTCATTAAAATGCGCAAAGTTACAGTACCTATTTTTGCTGAATTTTGGATTTGTGATTATTAGTACAATGTGATTACTTAGGAGGAAATTATTAATTGAATAAGTTGTATTAGTCATTTTAAAATTGTTTACTGTGTAATTTGTTATTTATATATCAAGGAATTATATGCTGAAAAATCCGTATTGCATATTTTGTATTTTCTGTTATTTCACTTTTACATTTATTGAAGCTTCTAACAGATCAGTTATAATAATCCTTAAATTGTACATAGTATTACATAGCTTACACATATGGATGTATTTTATGAGCTACTTTCTGAACTATTGATTTCATACAATTTGTTTTGTGAATTTGTAATTTTGAATTATCAAGATCAAAATGACAAGCTCTTTCCATATAGGTAATTCTTCAAATGAATGTGTGTGTTACAGCCAAATTTACTTTCTTTAATATGATTTACTTTCTTTAGTTTATTTTTCTGGCACATAGTACAAAATCAGTGCTTTAGGAATGTTATTGGGAGCCAAATTGTCATGAGTCTACCACTTAGAAGCTATGTCATGGCAGGCAAATTACATGTTCTTTCTGTGCTTCAGGTTCCCATAAGGAAAGTAATACTTAACTCATAACCTTGCTGAAAGTATTCAGATAATGTATATGCACTTCTTAAAACCGTTAAAACCTTAATAAGTATTCAGTATATGGTGTGGAAATTATTGTTGAAGACCACTGAGAAGTAATAATCTAGCACAGCATCTCAAGGCAGGCTGTTGATGGAGCTTAAAGGCAGTATAGCAATCATCTGTTTGGTAACTTTGTCAACAGTTGGGCTTTTTTTGTGGGGACATATAATTTGTGGTAAAATTTGCTATCTTAGAATTTTCATAAATCTGTGAGAGATATATTTGTGTTTCCTATACACCCATTTTTCCTACATCAGACTTTTTCTTTATCAAATTTTTATATTAATAGAAGTTAAAATGGCAATACTATTTCCATAAAGTCCATTTATTTTTTTCCTTATTGATCCAACCATAGAAATTCTAATGAGGCCTGTCTTTTTCTACCAGCTAATAGAAGAAATTATGATTATATTAAAATAGCACAGTTCCAATGTTTGTTCTTTTGAAGTCCTGACTATTCAACCCATATTACTACATGAATTCTTAACAACAGTGCTAAGAGTCACTAATGTCTTGTGTTGTTTAAAAGAGGGGCTTTAATGATTATTGACATAAAAATGTTAGGTTGAGAGTTGCTCCTATATCATTTTCTCTTGATTAAACTTCAACATACTTGAAAGGAGTTTACCAATGTTTTAATAGTGATCATATATATAATTTA